GCCAGCACAGCTGGCTGGGGGATTCTGGGAGTTGAAGTCCACAGGACTTAAAGTCGCCAAGGTTGAGAAACACTGAATTAGGAGGAGTTAGTGTGACTACAGTTAAGAAAACTTTCTGGCATTAATATACTGCGTACATTTCTCCAATTCTTGCTATTTCTATGGGCCAGGCACACATGCACAGAAATAAATGGCGTATATTATCTGTACTGTTTGCTGTTTGCTGCAAGGAGGCAAATTGCTGGGAGGCAGAGACGGATTTCCCCCCCTTGTTTTCCTCCCCAAAAGCTAGGTGCGTCCTTCGGAGCGTCTTATACTCCCAAAAATGCGGTAAGTCCCATAGCCCTGTCTCATTTCCCATCTTCTCGATTGGATCTTGTTTCCGGGAAAACTGGGTAGGTGGGTAGCGGCAAAGAGGATAGGAAGGATTGGTTTTTTTAATTTATTTTTGGGTGGCTGTTGTTTGACATTTCAAACTTTAAGCCTGAAAAAAAAAAAAAAGAACCAAAGTGAAAGGGTCAACGGAACGATGTTTCTCAACCGTGGCAATTTTTAAAGAGGTGTGGGCTTCCATGCTCCCCAGGCTGGCTGGGGAATTCTGGGAGTTGAAGTCCACACCTCTTAAAGTTGTCACGGTTGAGAAAAAACAGCCCGAGAAGGTATCCCTGGAAAAACCAGCTGCAGTGATGGATAAAGCCGCCGCGTTTCGTCTAGCGCGACTCAAGAGGGTTTTGCACCAAGCGAAGTGGAAAACACACGAAATCCTTTTTCTGGCAGCATCGCTCCTGCGGGTTGCCAAGACAAACTAACTCTTCGTCCTTTGTTGGGTTTAAGATAAGATTATCTTTATTGTCACTTTTTTCTGTGAACACGCTGGCACACATGGAAATAAAATAAAATCCTGATGCCAGCTCTCAAAACAATCTACCTACCTATGTACTCAAACATATGCTATAAAAAGGTAAAGGTTCCCCTTGCACATATGTGCTATTCGTTCCCGACTCTAGGGGGCAGTGCTCATCTCTGTTTCGAAGCCGAAGAGCCAGCGCTGTCCACAGACTTCTCCGTGGTCATGTAGCCGGCATGACTCAACGCCAAAGGCGTACGGAACACTGTTCCCTTCCCACCAAAGGTGGCCCCTGTTTTTCTACTTGCATTTTTACCTGCTTAGTTTCGAACTGCTTAGTTGGCAGAAGCTGGGACAAGTCACGGGAGCTCACTCCGTTATGCAGCGCTAGGGATTCAAACCGCCAAACTGCCGACCTTTCTGATCGACAAGCTCATCATCTTAGCCACTGAGCCACCCCTTTAACATTTGCTATATATACAAATATAGACCATTTTTTTCCGGAAATAAGACTCAACTGGAAAATAAACCCTAGCATTTTTCAGGATGCTTGCAATATAAGTCCTACACAAAAAATAAGCCCCAGTTAAGATCTTCGTCCAGACATTTAATACCATATTTCCCGCAAAATAAGACCTAACTGAAAGATAACCCCTAATGCGTCTTTTGGACCAAAATAATAATAATAAATAAGCAAAAAATAAAAATAAATACGTCCTGTCTTATTTTTGGGGAAATGCAAGGAAGCCTCCATCCTACAACCAAAATATCTGTTGTGTCAGAGCTTCTTCAGCTCTGACGGGATGGTGGGGAATGGAAAGATTTATATTCCTTGCAGACAGCTGGTCATTTGCATCCTTTAAGGGGGTCGTTGAGGCCACTTGGAGGTTTATCGGTATCCTCAGATAAATCTGTGTCCTCAAGTAAATGGGTCCTTCCACACCCATTTGCATTACTCAGGTGACCCTGAGGACACAGTAAACCTCCAAGTGGCCTCAATGACCCCCTTAAAGGATGCAAATGACCAGCTGTCTGCAAGGA